GCAACGAGGTAGCAGCAGATTAGGACATCAAGTGGTCTTTTCAAAGGGTATATTCAAGGTTACGGTCAGATTGGTTATGTATTGATCTTGGAGGTAATTTCAATTTCCGACTTAGGCTGCCTCTGTCGAAAAGGATCCCGTGAAGTCATATCGGACTTGTTATGATGTCGGCTCTATACTGCCTGGAGTACAGATACCTAAGAAAGCCTAGGTGTCCACTTACTGCTTTTTCAGATTGAAAAGTCATAACTGCAATGGTTTGCGATGGTTTGGGCACGTGTTGCGAATGCCTTCAGAAAGGAGGGCAAAGTAAATATTTCTTGCCCAGCCGACCGGCACAAGACGACCCCGAGGACGGCCAAGAATTAGATGAGGTAAGTGTGAGGAAGGACTCTGTTCCCGACTCAGTTATGTTTTTATGCTGAAGCTCAAACGTGTGTGTCTCTGCGATCAAAAGGAAAGCCAGCGATCATCGAAACTAACTGACTGACAGAGGTAATCTGAAGTCCGGTTCGAATCAGAGGATATCATTTCGCTGTGTAAGTGGTATAAAAAGTGAATTCTCAGTTCAAGTATGGTGTTTACAGTTTTATCCCTCCTTGGTTGTCTGTGGTGATCCGAATCCAGTTAATCCTTTTTTCAAACTTTCAAATTGAGTCAATGTAGAACGACAGTATTCGTAAGTGTCATTGTCTCTGTAGTCACTGTCATCTCATTCTGTATACAGCGCAGTTCAGTATTTGACATTATTACCATGCCAACAAGTTTTCTATTCTGAGACGGGCAAATGAAAAATTAAATTCAGATGTTCAAGCGTCTATGAAGCCAAGAGGAAGGGTTAACATCTAGCATCATTATATTTTTATTCGTTAATCGTAACTTCTGGAGCAAATAATTATTTACATAAACTTCGCAGTTATTCTAGAAATAAGTTACCAAGTATTTGGCTTAGAAATGAACATACAGGAGACCTAACAGTCTACAACTGTATTTTCTTAAGATATGCTGTGGTACTAGTTGTCTCTTTTATTCTGGCAATTGTTGTCATCTATCCACAAGCTGATATCATAAATAAAGAACAGAAAGTTCCAAGGGACTGTATACCACCGAAAATGGAGCTAGTCAGTTCATAGTCTGCAGAGAAGCTTAATGCAGTTTGTACAGTCCCACTTTCGAATGCCGTTGCTGCACTGAGCTAGTGCTGTTTCTTTATATTAGTTATTAGTTTTTTCATAGATGTTGCCATATCCACTTGAGGCTGAGAGACCATAAGCAGTAGAGTTGTGCAGGGTGATATTTACCAGGAGCTGATTATCATCAGCCATTTCGACCCACGACTGGACGAAGGCCTCTCCAAGACTTGCCACGAACATCCGCCTCCTGAGATTCTCGCCCATTTCGATTCAACAAACTTCTTCAATGCATTCTGTCATTGATCTTGAGGTCTTCCTATCGACCGTCTACTCCCTCCTTTGTAACACAGTCTAGTGTGTCACTGGTCAGTCCCTTTTGCAACGTATCCTGTCCATTGCCACGTCAACTTTTTCGCGCTTGCACTGACGTAGATGACCCTTGTTTTTAGGCTCTTACCCATTCATTTGTCCTCCAGTTTTTCCGTGCTATTTCCAACATATGCAGTTCCATGCTATTAGCTTGTCTTAATCAAACCTCTCTCGCTCATTATATCAAACTTTGCCGGACAGAGAAGGAAAACAAATTTCCATAACAGACCAGGAGTTCTCTCTAACTCATGATTCCAGCAAACATATTGGCTGTGGGTTCACGATGTTTGAATCAGCTTCGCAGATGTGGTGAGAAGGAGTTCCTACGGCTTGCGGTGAAGCCGTACGGGCAGTTTCTCCAGCAACTGCAGGAATTCATTACGGTGATACAATAGCCTAGGAATAGTATAAATGATCGTTGGAAGGTTTCAGTTCTGCAACGATGTTTACGAAGTTGACAACTAGAACCTCATAGGATAAACTTTCCGCTGATCATCATAATACAAGCCATATCAGAATCGACGCCTCGTTTCATAAAGCTTTGAAATGTGAGTTCCAAGGGTACGCGTTGACTCCTTGAGTGCATGAGATTACGGTGCCAAAGATAAGCTGAAATTCCTTCAATTTTCCAGTCATTATCATCGTCCATTCAAAGAGTAGTCGACGCCATACACAATCCTACGATGCCACCACTTCTCCCGGTACTTCACTTGGACAACGACTAAGTCCGAGCTTGCGATTGGTGAAAGGTGAAGCTAATTCTTTATGAGACCATTATGATTATTGCGAATCATAATCGATAATACCGAGCCATGGGACTCGAGGGAACTTGCCCTCGCGACCTTATGCACTTGAGGAACGTCTCCGTACAATGACATGTCTCCAACGGTCATGTCTGTCGACGAACAGCTGTCTTTTTAGAAGGACTCAACAATAGGGCCCTTGAAGGCATTTCAGATCAGTGGCAAAACGCTGACATAATTACCACGATTTTGATGACCGGCGCATGCGCACATCAAAGCGGCCGCTTCCTTGACACCGATCCGTCATGCACACGTGCCGGCAATTTGTTGTGTATTGCAAATTCGATTATTTTTTAACGCTAATAAACGTTAAGAATTTTTTGCACAATGATTGCCAGCTTAGCGATAGGTCGCTGCTCGGATGCGCGTTCAAAACATGAACCAACTTCACACAACGGCACCAGAAGATGGATGCGAGGGTGGTCCACAGGACGAGTGCTAAATGGTAGCAAAATCGCGAAAGCCACCGAGGTATTGCCGTCGCACTACAGGCAGTGCGAAAAGAGTACCGACGAGTCTAGTGACCGAGCCAAATTACGGTCAAGATTTAGAGCCCAGCTTGGAGATCTTTATCCAAGCAGTAAATCGATCGAATGATCGAGACTGGTCGCCATTCGAAGAGCCAGTTTTAGCCCTGAATTCCTCTATGCGCTGTTTTGAACGAAAAAGTTACCTATAAGGCTGGTGACCCTTAGACTATGCAGTAATATCACTTTCAAAGACCGCAGAGGAGCAAAATTTTCTCGCCTTACTCTCCGTCACCATTTAAGAAACTTTTAAGCCGCCCGACGGTTACAATCGATGTCGAAACGCTGAAACCTCTTGTCCCCCCTTGATTTAGCGAGGCGCCGGTTGAGGCTTGCTGAGTGAATCAACCTTGAAGCTGAGACGATGGTAAGAACCTTGCATATCGAATACTACAAAACGTCTTCTGAAGATATGAGCATGGTTTCGTACACTTGATTGATTATCGACGGATTTTGTGCGTATCAGGACTTCGTTCATTCACAGCCTCGTCCACTGCTTAGAATGGATGTCGAAAGAATTTATCCCTGTTCTTTTCAGCGATAATTTCATATGCCAATCCCGGAAAACTCAGCAGACCCTATGTCGAAATATAAGCAGGTCACTAGGCTTTAGTACTCGTTACCTCAATATCTAACCCTGTTAAGATTCATGTCGTAGCGTCGGGCTAGATAAACGTCTGGGAGGAATACTCTCCACCGCACTTCGTTTCGCTGCTTGATCTTATGCTTTGGTTATTACTGCCTATCCGCAATGTAGGTGAGAGGCTAAATATGTAGAGAATTATTAACGATGATCAAATGAACAAAATTTCACAGTACACTGCATCGCCTACTTGTTCTCATATGTTCATGAGGCTATGGTTTAATGGTATTTGAGTGCGTGCAGTCTTACAAGCAGTTTGCATTATGTTAACGATAAAGCCACGCCTTCTGCATTATTTTTAATATTTTAGAAATCGTTACCCATTATACGCGCTCGTAAATAATAAAATATGCATTCATATGTGAAATATGTCAATATGTTAATATGTCTCCAAACCGAGCCTCACGTCAAGCCGTATCGTCCGTTTGTTCTAAGATGCGAAACTGTGTACGCAATGCAATATTTCACTCCATGAACCTATATTTCTTATTTTTTATGAAAACAAGAATTATTGCCCCACGAAACATCATCAATGACGATTAAGCAATTATAGTTGCAAATAAAATGATTCATGATGCACATATCTCTGGTGTTCGAATGAAGCCTGCTAGGACTCTTATGCTTCTCCAAGTAAAGGGACAGACAAAACATTGCAAATTATGTTTTGGATATGTAAAATACATATTTGCATAATTACTACATCTAAGGACATTGTAGCAGTGATTTACCTTTTAAAACTACCGGCTCGATTGCTGCATGGTATAAACGTTTTTTAATATTACCTTTTTATTTAATTACTTGCTAATTCCTTCAAGTAAGGAATTCGTGCACGTTGCTTGGGCGCAACCAGCTGACCAACACAAAGCAAGTGGCTGCCCTGACCGGCGAATGAATACCTTGATACTCTGGTATTAGGCATACGGTCATACTGCATGATGGGTGCATATTACAGCTAGAATTCGCACTGCTCATCTGACAGCAGCGGAGGCGTGTCCCGTAAACGAAAAATATAGCCATTTACATTCGGATGACCAGCAACACGATCAAAGAGTCATACCTCGCTACAGAAACGCAGTTGATGCAACTTATCGTGGCTGAAGAATCCACTGCCTCATGATAGCACTTTTTACCGTTGCTTACTTCCATATACTAGGAAACGGTCTTCGTCGACAATCTGTTTCACAAAACAGATGTTCGGCGGCTGTTTTGAGGTAAAGCGGTGAAATTGAAAAAGGCACCAAGAATCATGTAAAACCTGATCTCCGATCGTTCATGAAAAAAGCCCCTTCTTCGAAGGTGGCCGCAGTAAGTAAATAAGTGAATGACAATGGAGGGATTTTCCGATGAGCAGAACAATTACAGTGACCCAGGTTATGTAACTTGCTCAACAGAGTTAAGCATCTGTGCAGCATATGTTGTTTTGGCTGTGAAAGAAATAGGTGGATGACCTTACTCGTTGCCGGGGTCATTTTCACCAGCACGCTTCTTCGAAAAGAAAATACGACAGAGATATAACAGTGTAAAACATCTGGTTTCCCATGTCAACTTCTGTCCTTCGTTTAGATAAATGAAATTATGAATAAATCAATCATGGCTTTTATGTCAAATACGGACCATAGCCCTAATATCCTTTCATCGCCATGTGTTGACAGAACATTTTTCCACCTAGATGGATTGCATCAACATCCAGATGAGACTTGTCATCCTCTGATTATCATCCCCTCGTTAGTCGGTGGCCCCACTGCATATTACAGGTTTTCACTACATCGTAGCGGCTAGGGAGAATAAATTCCACCGTAATCTGCTCTTAAATGCGATCCATATCTACCATTATTGGTATGAAATCGCTGTTCGTCTGAACTGCTTAAAGAACAGACGATGAGTTCGGATATTCAAAGAGCGTGTTTAAAATGCCTACCCGTCAAAGTTCATATTTGAAAGACGAATAACTGTTGAGAGCGATGTCATGTTGAAATATGTCCTTAAAAAACTAATCGACGTAAGAATCAACACTGACTGCATTTCTGAGGAAAATAACCATACAATGGAAAAGACGTGAGAAAGTGCACATCGCCTAGCAGATGTGCAGGGGGCAAATGATTTGAACCTGGGGGCATTCATCACATTCTGATAGCACTGAGCAACTCCTTCACCTGGTCGATCCTCACCTGATTCGAACTCAGTTATTTCGCTAGCCGAACCGAACTTATTGGGTCATTAGACAGTCGGAGTCAGAATTCAGAGATCCAGGATTCGATCCCTGGTGGGATCACTTGTGTCTATTCCTTCCGGACTGACAAATGAGTGCCACTCTCTGGAAAGGAAACGGAGACCATACACTATGCGTGCGTAATGCACATGGCTGACGCATGGAAATGGAAATCAGCGACCCATCATCGCTATTAACCAGATGAAAAGAAGGCTGACCAAAGTAGCCCCTTCACGAGAGTATTAATAAGACTCACCATCCAACGATTACAAAATTTCTTTCTTTTCCTTTTCTACTTCATTAACGATTTTTCCATATTCCGAACATAAGTCAGGAAAGAACGAGTCTGGGCATCTAATCGCTCACAGAACAGCGTAAAAATTGTAAAATGGACTGATAATACCTCAGCACAATGTTAATAATCCAATTTGCAAAACAAAAACAACTACCTAAAACTTCATAAAATTTCAATTTAAACTGTGCAAGATACATATGGCTGCACGGTGAGCAAATTTTTACGTTTTAGCAAGGATCGACTAGGTTAACATTAATCACTGCTGTGCAAAACACTCAGTGTTTACAATATGGCTTGCAAAATTCATGGCGATTCAGTGAAAGCATATTGAAAGACGACTCTAATGGTAGTAGGCACAGATCAGGTAGTCGGAAAAACTACCCAGTGATTATGATGAATATTGTTACTGTTACCCAAAATATTTCCTGTCATTAAATAACGTCTTTCGATTATTTTTATGCCTATTTTTAAGTTTCAAATACCTTATCATCTTTCAAACACCTAAAGATGTTCAGGTGGCATTTCGATCTAAACGATGGTCATAATGGAGCAGAGCTAATAAGCAGTCAATAATATTACAATTCAGTATCAATATTTCAGTATCTAGGCATGACGAATCTGAGCTAAGCAAATCAAGGCAAAATCGAAAGACCTCGGTCAGAAAGAACAAATATTGACTAGTCTCAAGTTTAGCAACAACGAATTGTTAAAAATATAAAGGGCAAACTTAACGATCGCCAGCCACGCATCGACGTCCGAGTCTGGGGTACATATCCGTATATGACGTCATCGGTACGGTGGAAATTCACCGTTTTTCTATGGCTATTCTTCCGGTGAGATGGCGGACGAATCGCGCAGCTGCCAGCAACGCGGACGGCAGCTGCCGGGGTCCGGCAAGGGCCACTCGTTCAGCAGTCGGTCGAGTGGACGCGCCGTCGTGCAAATCAGCGATTTTTGCTCCCCGGCTTATAATTTAATATGTCAAACGGCAATCAGCGATGAATTGTGCCAACGTTGGCGGTGGCGTTGCCAGATCGAGAATCGTTTTCGAGGAACGGCAGAAATTCGTGAAATCACGCGCCATCATTTACCAGGAGAATGGTCGAACTCCGCTGGCTGGCAAGTGACGGCCGGAGGCATAATCACATTGACCAGTGGCCTAGTGGCCGCTGTCCAGCTGATTCAATTTCGACTTGTTTGCTCAACTGCTACCCGGGACGCGCTGCCGCAGAAAAGGCCGAAAGTGCTTATGTATGCTGAGCACTATTACACACCACCGCTAGGGGCCATCACACTGACAACCGGGACGGCGAAGAGTGAAAAAACAACAATCGATAGATATATTTAAACCTCGCTGTCCTTTGGCTTCAATGAATACCGCCGCCACGTGTCATTAATGACACACTTGTAGCGTTATCGCCCTTTTGCCGGGAACAGTCAAATAATTAATGGCTCACGGGCAGCGCACGGCCAGTGGTCAGTAGCAACAGCCACCATAAGAGGTAAAGGGCAATTATTTGCCAAACTAAAAAACGACGGCAGCGATTACACATATTCATCGAGGCAGGGTGATTCAGTTGTGTGCACAATTAGCATATCTGTAGGCAAGAGCCGATGATCAAATATTATAACTACTCTTATAATATAGTAGTTTTTAGCGCCAGTTATCACACAGGACACTTGGTATCTCATATTTTGAACAGGTGAACGAAAGTTACACACATTTTTACATAATGATCTCCCGAAGGTGCTAAAGGGTTAAAAATGTTGTTGATAAAAAAATTGCAAATATGTCGAATTTTGCAATTAAAGAATCGTTTTTGGGGAATTTCTTAGATTTTGAAACCAAGAAGTAAAACTTTGATAAAATGGTGAGGAAAACGAGTGCAGGATCGATTTAGAGATTGATGAAAGGTTTATGAACCCGATCAGCCCATTGTATTACGTTGCATGGAATACACTACTTGTTTCCGTACATTCTGCAAAATTTTTACGAAACGTCTTGGTCATGGCTTCTGTTTCAAAACCTCACCAAAGCGCTGAAATAAGAATTTAAAGACCCATCGTGCTCAAAGCTATCTTTAATCTACCAACTCCGCCATTTCCGGTCACGAGCCCGGATCAGTGAGGATAGTTTGGGACTGTGGCGAACTCCTATGTAAAACAGAGCCATTCCTCCCTCATGGTATCGCGAGAGTGAACGCATTCAGTCGCAATACGTGCCAATCCATCGATTCCTTCTGTGAGAAACTGCACCGGTATTTAAATGACAAGACATGGTAGAAACGGAAGGGTGGCAAAATACTTCGAAAAGAACACTCGCCAAAAGCCTATATTTTCCCGTGATAATTTCCTATGATAGCAGGGCCATTCTTCTGAAGCATCATATTCCTATGGCGAATCATGCAATGTCGCTTTTAAGCTTTTAAGAGCGACTTGCGTCACTCTTTTCATGACACTTGACAACCTCACACAGACAATTAGAACATCCTCGATTTGGAAGACGTTCTTTCTCACAACTTTGATCGTTCCAGGAGACCCTGCTCTGCCTGATGCGGTCCATTTTCGCATAGCTTATTTTGCCGTTTTATATTTTTCGTTCTTTATATCTAGGTTTCAGCAACTCATCGTATTCCATGGGTTTAGTTGAGTAAATTTCGCTGACTGGCTGATTCAGTAAATGTCTTGCTTGTATAAGTGATCACTGATGAAAAATTATTTTTGATAACCAACGCTTTAAGTTCTAAAAGACAAACACAGACTCTTAATGATAACAGATAAGAAAGAGATAGTTAGAAAGCTGCAAAAATATATTTAATAAATGAAGCTCTTGGAATCCACAACAATGTTCCTTCTTCAGCACAAATTAGCGAGGTATAGGAAATAATTAATGTAACGCTTTTGCTACTCATCGTACACCCTAGTTTTCAGCACCAAGCGGAGAATGGAATCCGATAACCGTACAGGTACACGAAACCTGACTGTTGAAGATAAGATGTTCAAAATGAAAATCACAAAATGAAGCCGTTTATCATCTTAATGCACAGGCGGATATGAAAATCTCCAATGGTATTTCACGCTTATCTTTCAACAAAGTCTAAGGGTGTTTCTTCGCTGTTGCTCTGTGCAAAGGGCTCATAGAATATCGATGACGACAAAAACAAAAAATGCCGGAGAAGAACTTTGAAATAATAATTCTTGGGCTTCGGCATCGCTTTCTGTTTTGTCATCCTTTCATTGTGTACGTTTAATTTACAATGCAATTTTATTTTTTACCTCAGTATCTCGTAACACGTTTTCAGTCAAACCACGGAACTTGTACCGTTTTGCTCGCTTCCAAATGAACAACTACACCAAGTGTGCCGTTTCCTACGTATTGTTTGCTGCCATTTTGAGATGCAAGATCATGGCGGATTTTGCCCTAGATTCACAGTGATTGTGCTCTCTGTCATCCCTGATGCCATTATAAACTGTTTATATGATAAAAATCTGATCTGGATACGGTTTTAGATTTAAGAAAAATTTATTCAGGTCCCACGTCCATTGGAAACGTCCTTGAACGCAGACCCACTACTTACTGCTGATTCATTGAACACTGCTTTAAACGTCCATAGACACGTTTTACACGCCTGCGTGGATAAAATTCCTTTGCTTTGCGTGTTATTGAAAATATTTCACAACTTTCACATCACTTGACATTTTCTTATCACTTGTATAAGCCTTGGGTCAGGAAGTGTTAACGACATATCTGAAACCGTGGTTGAACAGTGTACAGCAACGTCAGCGTCGATGCATAACGAGGATTACACAGGACCACCATGTTAGGAATGACTATTCTCTTCTGCTTGCAAGTGATCTAGGCCGACATGGAGATTAAGAAAATAAGGTTGCTGTTAGACAAGTTGGCTTTGTATAAACCGGTCGCTCTGACTCGCTGTCCACACTGAAGTGCGCTTGACATCGATTCCGGGGTCAGCATGGAACATGGATGACGACCTTAGAGAGAGAATCGGCATAAGGAAGGAACTGCTCCTTCTACGACTCACTAACTGTGAATTTTTGGCAAAATGTTGAAAGCCTGCAAATGCAAGGAGCATCACAAAAAAGAGACGTTCTGTTTGTGGTAACGGCTCAAAGTGATGATCTCAACCAACAAATACGTTCTAAAAAGCGATAACCACCGAAGCAAAGGAATTTTCGTAATTTGACATTCCGTTATGAAGACCTTCCTCATGCTGTTTGTTCCATCAGAAACTTTCGACCTGCGTGCGCGTCTCCGGAAGCAATAACTAGCAGGCAGTCAATCATGCCTTAGAAATAGCCTCAAATAACTCAAAAATGTCCCAGCATTTGAGACAGGGACGCAACCGGTGTCGACGGCCTTCTTCGATCATTTGGTAGAAAGGTCGCAGGTGGGAGGCCGCTGTTCGGCGAGCGTCGGAAACGGCGGTAGCAATTAAAAAGGAAAACATAAATTAGCGACGACATAAGTGACAAGCAATCAGAGGACAGTCGTGTTATGTACACTCGGATCGATCGTGCCAGCTGACGGCGAGGACGATGACGACAGCAGATGAGAAACTGTTCATTGTTTCCACATTCACCTCTGTCACCTTGGCGCACAAACCGGCATGTTCAGAGGTCATTACCGAGTTGCAGTTTCTCACACCTCTCATTAGCCGTTTCGTGGCTCGCTGTATACTTTCAGGCGTTAGGTCAGATTCACCTAAGACTAAGACTGCCTGTAAAAACACAGAAATGCCCATTAGTGAATGCGCCATTAGAGACCATAACTGAAAACAAATTAGGGGGTCAGCGCAATATTCGAATACCCCGTAAAGAAGCGTCCCAGGAGAATTTTAGCGGATAAAAGAGGCACAGGTTCGATCATATTGAATATGTACCTATGGAACAGTATGTGTCAGCATGACAGAAGTCATGTGTCATTTGGCATTTCTTCATCGTTCGCCGTCTTCTTTCGTTCTTGACTATGCATATTCTTGCAATGATTAGTTTCTGAGTCTCTTTCACTTACCTCCATGACGAAGCTTTTCACTTCTGACTAAGTAATGAACTCCATGCGCGGTAGCATGGCTGGTTGGATTCATAAAAAGTAAATATTTGCTTCTGGCAGCTCATTGGGCGAATTTTGAAAAATCTTTTATTTGTATACTACATGTTTACTGATCAGGTCAGCTGTCAGGTTGAAGACCACGACGTGTTAAGAAACCAGCCAAATGTGCTGTTCGTTCTGACCAAGAAGAAAAGTTCGCTTCAAAAATAAATGTGAATGAATTATTGAATGGCTAGAAGACGAAGGCATGAAGAAATAGGCGGACAGGTGAATTAACAAACGGATAAATGAATGAACTCAGAAGCTCCTTTAATTCAGTA